TTCAAGCACTCTTCTTTATGGCACTAAGGTGTGCTTTGATACTACTCAAGCAAGATGATGAAGGGAAGGAATTTGTGGAGCGGGTAGCTACGCGGCTCCATGCTTTAAGCTATCACATGCGCAATTATTTTTGGCTAGACATGAAGCAACTCAACGACATATATCGGTACAAGACAGAGGAGTATTCTCATACTGCAGTTAACAAGTTCAATGTTATGCCTGATTCTCTTCCAGACTGGGTTTTCGATTTCATGCCGACTCGTGGTGGCTACTTCATTGGAAATGTCAGTCCTGCGAGAATGGACTTTCGTTGGTTCTGTTTAGGTAATTGTGTTGCAATTTTGTCATCTCTGGCAACTCCTGAGCAAGCTTCAGCAATAATGGATCTAATTGAATCTCGATGGGAAGAACTGGTTGGAGAAATGCCACTGAAAATCTGTTATCCAGCCCTAGAAAGTCATGAATGGCGCATTGTGACTGGCTGTGATCCGAAGAATACTAGGTGGAGTTACCACAATGGAGGGTCCTGGCCAGGTTAGCTTTTTATGCTTTCGATATCTAGCTCAAGTCATGATACATTGCTTCCAAGATTGGAATGGATTGTAGTTCTTGGCTATGATCTTCAAGGGTGTTTGAGATATTTACCTGTGTAATTGTTTCAATGCAGTCCTTTTATGGCTTCTAACAGCAGCTTGTATCAAGACTGGCCGTCCCCAAATTGCTAGGCGTGCCATTGAACTTGCTGAAAGCCGGTTATCAAAGGATCACTGGCCTGAATACTATGATGGCAAGCTTGGTTTATACGTTGGAAAGCAGGCTCGCAAATTCCAAACATGGTCCATTGCCGGCTACTTGGTTGCCAAAATGATGCTTGAAGATCCATCTCATCTTGGCATGATTTCACTCGAGGAAGACAAACAAATGACGCACTTGGTGAAAAGATCTGCTTCGTGGACTTGTTGACATTTCCTATATCATTTTCTATGTTTCAAGATTTGGTTATTTTTTGTTAGAATGTCAAATAGACAATGGAACTTTTACTGATTAATGATATTGGTTATCGATTGTGGCTTTTCATAGATCCAATTGCCATATGAAACTTTCTTTTTTGTGCTAAAACTGCAACAGTGAACTAAGGACCTGAGCATCATATGGAAGTATGCAACCAATTAATCAAAGAGATAGTCCATCAATTGAATGTCAATATAGTAATCGTGGGATATAGAAAAATAATCATATATTACTAAATAATACATCAATTGAACATCATATCAAAGCACTGCTATTAAACTCGGCCTTGCCTGGCAACGAAGAGGTCAAGGCAAACGCCAAAGATCAAGGCGTTTTTAGCGATGGTATCACGGTTGGCAGCTTGTTTTTTATTAGAATGCTTGTTCATGATCATGACAACCTCTTTGTTGCTGCTGAGACTGTTCATGCTATTGGAATCTATGTTCTTATTTATAAGCTCTTGAAGGAGAATACATGTGCTGGTAATACATACGAAACATCTCTCTCTGTTTTTTTTTTCTTGTATAGGTTAATGTCAATTGCATTATGTCTTGGAAAGGGTTTCTTCTCGTTTTCTGTATATGGTGATTCATCTTCTCATATGGGAAGACTGTGATGAGTGAAGAATTTGTGTTGAGGCTTGAGGTGTGAGGGTCTATGTGCTAATCGAGGATAAGTAGCTTTTACTGAAGAAAGCAAGATCAATTTTCGTTGTGTCATGCATAGATAATTGCTTGGTAGATAACATTCATCTCTGTATTACGCACCAGCACAACTCTAGATTTTGTTTTGTGGTAAATCTCATGCTTGAAACTTCTGCCATAATTAGTCTCTCTGTTCCCGTCTCTCTAATTTTAGTTTTTTTTGCAGGACTTTCATTGAAATCACAGGAGCTAGCAGTTATATTTTAGCTGTTAGGCTCTATTGCAGTTTTGTCATGGAATATGACATAAGCAATCTACTTGATTCAGCTACATTGCTGACAAACCTCTGCATAATTTATATGATTCGATTCAACTTGAGGTCCAGTTAAGTGGAAGATAAAGATAAACTCTTTAATTCACTATTTGGTGAGTCTTGTGCGTTCTTTGGGCTGAAATAATCCATTGATAGCACTTTTTTTCACCTTTCGAAAATCCCATGGGATTTTAAAGATCATGGAGTGATCTTATTTTAGCATGCAAGTTAAAGCATTAAATTGCAATGTTTCCATTTGTATTTCATCAGTTAACCAATCCAGTAGGTTAAAAACTCCTGATTTTATTATGCCCTCGGCAAGATTATCAATTGGCTTACAAGTCCTTCAATGAGTTTAACCGAAAACCATCATGGGATGAGGTCTAACAGCGTGAGTGTTTTAACATTCAAGTTAAACTGAAATTTTCCATGGGTCTTTGATCGGCTAGCTCACCCTGTAAGTCAAACATCCCTGATTGTAACCGTGCTAGGTTTTATCGGTTACTTGTGCTTGCAATTCTTAAATGAGTTTAAACGTAACCATCCTGATCTGTGCCCCCTGAAATGGTTGGTTAGCGTGTTATGTGAATTCATTCACTTTGGTGTTGCCATCAATTTGCAAGATTAAATGCACAAAGATAGCATTACAAATTCTGTTTATAATGTTGTTTGATCATGATTTTTTCTTCCCTCTCCGTTTGCCGTATGTTGCTTTTTTCTTAATGTACAGTGAGCCTTTTCTCCTTTCAAACAGGTGATTCCATGTACTGTACTAGCTTTGGTTACTCATCCAGCAACACAGCATCACATATTCAACAGGACACAAAGGTATGGCTGAGAGTAACATGTGCATTCCTATTAGCCTTTTCAAAATGGAGAATGTATTTTGGAAATATGGGAACGATGACAGCAGATTTTCTTCTTGATTGATGCCTAAATGAAGCCTATTATAGTGTGTGTGTTGGAGAGGTGGTTTCCAAAACAAAGAAGCAGAAAAATAAGAGGAAAAACGACTTTCTTTTTTCAAGGGACCAAACAGAATATTTACTTTTCGCGCAAGTTTCACTTCATGAGCTCGTTACATGACAAGTGAACATTACAAACCAATAGCCCCAACACAGAAAACACTCTTTTTTCTGCTCACTTTCCGGGGACGAAGTTTGTGGCATACGCCCATGCGTTGTTGTTAACTGGGTCGGCAAGATGGTCAGCAAGGTTCTCCAGGGGACCCTTGCCGGTCACAATGGCTTGGACAAAGAATCCGAACATTGAGAACATAGCCAACCTCCCATTCTTGAGTTCCTTCACCTTCAACTCAGCGAATGCCTCGGGATCGTCAGCCAAGCCCAGTGGGTCGAAGCTTCCACCTGGGTAGATTGGGTCAGTTACCTCACCCAGTGGCCCGCCAGCAATTCTGTAACCCTCAACGGCACCCATCAAGACCACCTGTGTTGCCCAGATGGCCAAGATGCTTTGTGCGTGGATCAAGCTTGGGTTGCCCAAGTAGTCAAGTCCACCCTCGCTGAAGATCTGGGCTCCAGCCTTGAACCATACAGCCTCACCGAACTTGACACCGTTGCGGGACAAGAGCTCGGGGAAGACGCATCCAAGAGCTCCGAGCATGGCCCACCTGGAATGAATGACTTCAAGCTCACGGTTCTTGGCAAAGGTCTCTGGGTCAGCAGAGAGGCCAGCAGTGTCCCAGCCGTAGTCACCAGGGAACTCACCAGTCAAGTAGGATGGGGGCTCACCAGAGAATGGACCCAAGTATTTAACACGGTCTGGCCCGTACCATGGGCTTCCAGAGGGAACAGGCTTGGTGGTTTTCCTCATGGATATACGGCCATTGCCCATGATCTCAGAGAAGGGGTTGAGCTTCACCGCCTTTCCGGCTAATGAAGGGGAGGAGAGGGCCATTGTTGCTGCTGCCATTGCTGGATGAGCGGGTGCAGTTAAGATTTTTTGAGCTTTCGGTTTAGTGGTTTAGAGTGGTGGAGGGTATTGGCTAGGTGGGGTATTTGTAGGAAGCTACGCGTTTGAGTTCCTTTATCTCTGTGGTATCTAAATTCTTGGATTACACTGGGCTACACCTATAGAGCAGAAGCTCTTATCTTCGGGTATCTGAATCTCTCATCTCATTGGAGGCCCTAGATTTTGGGCTCTATACTTATTATCTTACTTGGCACGCTCTAAATCACCATGTTATTAGATTCATTTCTGATGTTGTAAGTGTTCCACGTATACATTTTATCAGAATTGAGTGGCTGGTAGAATGGCTTCACAAAATATCTGCCGAAATGAAAATAATGAGACGTTGTGGCTTGTCTAGCCAAGAATACCTCGATCAAATGACTTTAAGTTTTTCTTCTTCTTAAGAAAACGTCTTCATTAATTGTTTTTCCTGAATCAAATCAATGATACTCCCCATCCGGGATGGTTTCAATCAGTGTTTTCTAGCTATAATGGCAGCCAGTTTTCCATTCAAAACACAATCCTTTTCTCATGTCAAGAAGCATTAAAGCCATGCTTCTTCCAGTATTTCTTGGAGGCCTATATTTTATCTGGTGGAGATTGCTAAAACTGGTAATTGGCATTGCTGTCAGATTGTAATCAATATGATAAACTGATGCAAGATTTACACCAACCATGTCTTGTGCTTTTTAACTCTTGTCCACCAGAACGAAAAAATAAATCTAACTATTCTCACTAATTTCTGTAAAACTGCTATAAACATAATGTAGAGCACATTAGACAACATGAAGTTAGATTTCATGGCTGCCTCCAACTCCAAGCTAATAGAGATAGATTGTGAGATGACCAAAAGCATATGTGGCAAATTTCTATTGGAACAAACACAGCTTGAAACATTGCTCCAGATTTCGGATACGTTTTTTGGCAGCCAAAATGACGTGGAGATGATAGGTGGTGTGGAGAGTGCCAGGTCGACATTCAAAATCGATCTTCGAAAACGCGAGCAACCAATAAGAGTGCAGTCATAGAAATCCTAAGATAAAGGACCTTCTCCACGAGATCGTATAAAAAGAAGATCGTCAACTCCAACCCACAACCACCAAACACCATCTCTTCAATCGTAAATCACAAATACATACACGTTTACTCATCAGCTCGGAAATGGCAGCAGCAACAATGGCCCTCTCCTCCCCTTCGTTAGCCGGAAAGGCGGTGAAGCTCAACCCCTCCTCCTCTGAGATCGGCAATGGCCGTATATCCATGAGGAAAACCACCAAGCCTGTTCCCTCTGGAAGCCCATGGTACGGGCCAGACCGTGTTAAATACTTGGGTCCATTCTCTGGTGAGCCCCCATCCTACTTGACTGGTGAGTTCCCTGGTGACTACGGCTGGGACACTGCTGGCCTCTCTGCTGACCCAGAGACCTTTGCCAAGAACCGTGAGCTTGAAGTCATCCATTCCAGGTGGGCCATGCTTGGAGCTCTTGGATGCGTCTTCCCCGAGCTCTTGTCCCGCAACGGTGTCAAGTTCGGTGAGGCTGTATGGTTCAAGGCTGGAGCCCAGATCTTCAGCGAGGGTGGACTTGACTACTTGGGCAACCCAAGCTTGATCCACGCACAAAGCATCTTGGCCATCTGGGCAACACAGGTGGTCTTGATGGGTGCCGTTGAGGGTTACAGAATTGCTGGCGGGCCACTGGGTGAGGTAACTGACCCAATCTACCCAGGTGGAAGCTTCGACCCACTGGGCTTGGCTGACGATCCCGAGGCATTCGCTGAGTTGAAGGTGAAGGAACTCAAGAATGGGAGGTTGGCTATGTTCTCAATGTTCGGATTCTTTGTCCAAGCCATTGTGACCGGAAAGGGACCACTGGAGAACCTTGCTGACCACCTTGCTGACCCGGTAAACAACAATGCCTGGGCATATGCCACAAACTTCGTCCCCGGAAAGTGAGAGATTCTTGGTTTTACTAGAATGATATATTTGCGTGCGTTGTTTGAGTGGTGTGTGGTGATGTAAATTAGTATCCAGAATGTGACATGTGTATTATCAAGTCTTGATGAGTGTATGATCTTTCATAATTCTTTTGAATTTCTAAATTTATCGTCTTGTGCTTAAAATATCTCTTTACAGTTTGAATCCTCTCGTCGAAAGAGGATGAGATTAGTATCCAAAATGTGATTAAAGCTTGAAAACCCACAAACATTGGAAACAAACTCCACAGAAACTCCAAGGACCCCAATATACACAGACCAAGAACACATTATAACAACAACCATTAGCATTTCTCTCACCTTCTTTGAAATCATCTCAAAAAACCATCATGTTTGCTATCTGTAGCCCCTGGGCGAGGTTGTCAATAATGGCGATGGTGGAAATTTTGTCATAGAGTAATTCTATAAGAATGTGATGCTATATCTAACTCTCTCTTTTTTTTTTATCTAAATTCTAATATCTAAAAGTTTATTAAATCTTGATTAATCCCATTAAACTGGGTCAGCTTATTAAAAAATAAAACCCTTCTTGTAATAAAAATGTATTCATTTATAAAAATCAAATTCAAAACTTTACTAGAAAAAACAAGTAGTGTTTATAACTGTTTTAAATAGCTGAATTGTCGACAATCATCGTATATTTGTTTTAGTCACCGCTGTACTTACCTTAGAGTTTTGCCTATATATTTCGTAACTGTGGAAAATAATATTATGGTAGCTTTGAAGTTAAGCTAGAGTTGATAGATCACGAAATTGTTTCTAGATGAAATTGTCAACCGGAAATTGCTAAATCTTGTTTTAATATGCCATTATATCATAACAAATGAATTTAACACTATCATATATTAAAATATATACTAAAATTAATATCCATGGTTTTCATTGTTTTTATAAACAGTTGAGCACTTCAAGGTTATTTTATTCATTTTTTTTCTTGCATGTTAGTTCTTTTATAGTATAATTAGATAGAATTAGACTTGAGGTTATAGGAGAGAAAAAAACATCAAATAAAAAGATAAAGGACTAAAGAGTAAATATAAAGAAAACACTTCACTTACTCTAAATTCTTGAAAATTTTCATTCTCGCATGAAAATTCATTTTATTTATTTTTTATTTCTTGAATTTTAAAGATATATATTTTTATCAAAAACAGAGAAAAAAGAAGAAGAAAAAAATGGAAGGTTGTCATGATTTTAACAACTAAAATAGCCAAGATTAATGTTAAAAAATTTTATTTTTTCCTTTAAGAATAGCAAATAGGTTTGATTTTGATTTTTGAAATTTAATTGATTTTTACTTTTTTAAAATGATCTTGAAATGTTTCAGTATTTTGAGATGGTTTATATTGATTATTTATGATTTTTCAGGTGAAAATAACTTGAATATGGAATTTTAGACAAATAAAAATCCCTCCCATCCCCTCCCCTCAATGGTGAATGAATTATGGGAACAGCACGCTAGAGGTTGCCTGCCACCTCATGCATCCTGTCGTGTGCTTAATTAAAAAAAAAAAAAACCGAGGGGACGAGGTGAAAAATAAATAATAAAAAAAAAGTCCGGGTGTACGCTTGTGGTTCTTAATTCAGGCAAAGCATGCACGGCTTTTTTTGTTTAATATAATTAATTTATGTTTTTAGGTTATTAATTCAAAATAATAATAATTTATCAAAATTTTAAAATAATTAAGAATATGTTTTAGATATATTTTATTAAATACTTTTCATTTTCTACTTTGTTTTGTTTACAAATAAGAATATAAACTGTTTTTTATATAATATTAAAAAGTTTTTGTTTAATCCATTTTATTTTATTTTTAGTTATATATAGTTGTGTTTTTTAATAGTATATATTCTTATTTTTATGTAATCAAATAAAAAACATTTTTAAAAAAATTATTATCATCTCAAACTTACGACGACTTGGAGTTATTAATTTGACATGCTAGTTAGGGTTAACTCTCATCGAATTAAAAAAATCATTATCCTGATATTTTTAAAAAATTTACTTTGTATATATTAAATTTAAAATTTAAAAATAAATTTTATTTACAAATAAAAAACACATTAATATTGCATTTAATTTATATATATTATAAAAACAAATAACACAACATTTAGCAGGACCAATCACTCTATTTTCAACACTAAAATAATTCCCTAAACAAGCACTTATTCTCCTCGTATTTCCTTTTTCATGATGCATGGATGGCCATGGATTATTAAAAAGTTTTTATGGGAGGTAAAGATTATGTGGTGATCATATATTAGCATCTAAGTTAAAAGTATTGAATTCCTGATTTTACTATGCCCTCAACAAGCATGTCAATTACTCTGGCTTACAGCAGTTAAATGAATTTAACCAAAAACCATCATATGATCTATGAAGATCTAATGGTTTGCCCATTTTAGCATGTGAGCTAAACTAAAATTTCCCCAAATATCTTTGATTACCCAGCTCGTCCTGTAAGTCAAACAGCCCTGCTTGGTTTTATCATTTACTTGTGCTTACAACGCTTAAATGAGTATAAACAAAGCCATCATGAGATGTGCAGATTGAGATGGTGGGTTAATGTTTACTTCGAATCCATTTCAGTGTTGCCTCAGCTACGAGTAATGCAGAACACAAAGGTAAGCCAGAGACCGTCTGAGGGTCCCATATGAATTCCAGCTAAGTTCTTCAAAGGGGGCATAGATTTTACAAATATTATGAACTCTTCCTAGGGATCATCCATCTTGGCTTCGACAATTACAGGTACTTGGTTGCTAAAATGATGCTGGAAGAACCATCCCATCTTAGCATGATTTCTTTCGAGGCATGACAAACAAATGGAGCATTGGTGAAAAGATCTGCTCCGTGGACTTGCTGACACTGTCTAGTATCATTTTCTAAGTTTTATGATTATGGCCATGATCAATGCAGCTTTGCATAGATCCAAATGCCATATGGATCTTCTTTTCTGTGCTAAAACTGTCACCTTGAACCGAGGACTCTTAGCGGTTGCTATATATGTTTATTATATAGAGGTATGAAACATCATTCTTATGCTTGGCTCTCCTCAAGTGTATGTTTCCTCCACTTTGCTCGAGTAGTGAGATAGATTAGTGACTCCTCGTTAAAAAAATATTCAATGGCTAATTCCATGTCTACATCTGCATGTGCTGGGGTTTTAGTTGGCCAAATTTTCTGTTTTGGATGGGTGGGCTCTCTGCAGTTTTCTACTTCACCATCTTTTTGTTGCCATCTCACACTTCTGTTTAGGCTCTGTTTTGGTGAGGTGGTTCTGGTTGGGGGGTTTGTTTTCCCCGGTGTTTTTTTGGCTGCCATGCAGCCTTTGTTTTCTCTCTTGCTCCATTCCAGTTTTCAGTTTGGTGCTTTAATATAGGGTCTATTGGCTTATAAAAAAATTTAATAAAGGTCCATGTTAGCTAAATTTATTTTTTAACTCTAAAACTATAGTTGGAAAACTTGGTTTAGGTTGAATTTAATTTTCTTAAAAGAAATCAAAATTATGTGGTTTTGACGGCAAAAAAATCAATGGATCGAGAGCTGAGTTTTGAACAAATTCAAACTAAATTTGCTAATTAATTCAAATTTTTATTTGGATTAACTAAGGTTTTTTTTTTTTAATTTTTTCTCTAATCTTAACCAATAAAGATCCTGGGTGAACCAGGTCTCATGTCAATCCATCTTTTGTGGTTTAGGTTTTATAAAGACATAAGTTTAAAATAGAGGTATATTTTAATTCTAAATTAAATAAAAATAATGTAGTTAGATTTATGATAATAAATAATTTTGAACAATTATGTGTAAATATGGTATCAATAAATAAGAATCTATCTCAAAAGAATGATATAAGTAGTCTAGCGAATATATTTATAAACTAGTAAGACAAGTTTAGATTCAAAAAAAAATTTAACTTTGTTAAATTAAAATAATAATTCAAAAAGACCATAATTTTTTATCTAATTATTAGATTACGCTCAAATTTTTATGGAATCGTTACTCTAACCATTAGATCTTTAAGTTTTTAAAATTTCATCCTCTAGCTTAGGTTTTGGCAGTTTTTATAATTTTTTATATTATTTTTAGATTTCATACCTTTTATATATATAATTTTGTATTTTTACTTTGTTTACTAGTTGAAGTAGGATTTTTGACTTATTTAAAATTTTATAAATCTTTCAGAGGATTATTTATTCAGAAAAAATAAAACATGTAAACTATTCTTATTTATAATATATTTCACTTAAATAAATTTTTATGTTTTTTCTGTTTCTTGCTATTTTTAACTTTTACCTGCATCATAAACTCTCTCTTTATTAATTGTTTTCTAATATTCTTTTAATCAAACAATAAAAAGCATGTTGAGCTTTTATTTATTTTCTTTAAAAGAGGACTATCATATTTACCATTAAAAGAAATGTATATAATCTTCATGTGATTCCCTAACTACCAATAGGTGTATTAACACCCTCGTAATAAAATGAAAAGGTAGTTTTTCCTTGCTAGTTGGTTGATGATACCATGGAATCGATCATCTAGGACTTCAATAAAAACAGGGGGGAGCAAACAAGCAAATAGAAGGTTGAATTTGACCGTGAGTCTTTGACTTGGAATGGATTTTTTTTCTTTTGACTGTCGAAGTATTATATATTGGATATGCATGCGAAGACAGGACAAAGGTGATCAGTTCCATGTTTTGATTTTCCCTTGTCTCCCTCGATGCAATAAGTGTTAAGCTCTCGTTTGGCTACGCGTTGCTTTTAGCATGCAAACTACATTTTACGTGAAAAAAACAACAAAAAAAAATTATATGGTTTTCAAAACTATATTTTTACTTGGAAAAATTATTTTAAATATATTTTTAATTAAACGATATTTTTGCAAATCAATGGATATAAAAAACAATATATTATTAAATGTACCATATCCGCATCTGTCTTTGGGAGATGGATAAGGTCAGCAGGAAGTGCTTTTATCCAGACTTGAGAGTTTTTGTCGACCATGTTGCTCGATTCCATTGGCCCTTGCAATAAAGATAGACCAACTACCTCACCTTAATTGAGATTACCTTACCATAAAGAAAAATATCGTCCAGCACGCATC